CAATAAGTGGATGAAATAATAATAATAATAATAATAATAATAAGTGTATACTATGCTTTAGTTCCTATTTTCTGTTCATTCATTTCGGCTACTCAGGCTAAATATAATGTTTTCTAATACACCAATAAATGTCTCAAATAAGTGAAAATATTCACTTAGAGGGAGTGAAAACTTATACTTTAAGCTTTTCCAAGATCCCAAAAAGGTAAGTTTTGCAGTAAACAAATGAATAAACCCACATCAGAAAACCTACATTTTTTTTAAACTCGTTCTTGTAATGTCTTGTAATGAATGTAACATAAACACAATGATAACCTTAAGAAAAGTCTGATGTTTTTTAAATTAAATAAAGATGCAAAATATAAGGAGAGTTGCTTACATTGGTGGTTTTTTAGGCAGACCATCTTCTTCCTATAGAAAAAGTAACAAAAATGTATAGTTTTACAAAAGTATGGACAGCACCTAAGATCATCTGCAGTTGGAACTTATTAAGTCCGCATTTACATTTTTTATCCAGTAAATCATGCAGGCAACATGTCCTGAATGAAAGTCTTACATTTAAATAGGATTTATTTTTCCACAAAGTTGTCCTAACTGGAGGTAGGTTGTTTTTTTTACTGAAAAACAAAATGGTTCACAATATAAATTCAGACCATCAGTTTTGCTAAATCAAACTTGCAGACAGGGATTTTATTTATTTTTTTTACCAAAAGTTATGCATCTCTCTCCTGTATTTCTTGAGTGCAAGGACGTGCTCCTTCTTATTCTGAACCTAGAGCATAAAGTAAAAGAATCCGTTACAGTTTCAGCCATTCTGCTCTTTAATTTCATTATATTTCAACTTCTAGATGACTTACCTTCTGCTCATCTGGGAGTTTGTCATACATTTTGAATGCTTTCTTTGCAATCTTTGAAAAACTCAACTCAGGTTTTTTCTGCTTTATCAAAGAAAACTGTTTCCCCGAATAGACTATTCTCGGATGAGGAGGGGGTTTGGGGAACTCTGGGTAGATCTGCAAGAAAATCAAAAGTAGAAATCCTGACAAAGAAGCAAAACATGCTGCTGTTCAGTTCATTTTGGGAACTGAATCAGTTCCTAGATTACCTGAGCAGGATAAGAACTTGTAGTTTTAGATCTAAGGCTGAATTAGAGCTGACTTTAACTGGCTTTATTATTTCATAGATCAGAATATATATTTTTGTGTAAAAATGGGATCCGTTTAGACCATGTAAATGATTTCAGTTTTAATAAACAAGAAACTAGTTCCACAAAAAGCATCACATCAGCATTACGAGATTCTGGCACAATCAACTTAAAAACAAAGGATTTCTTATCAAAGAAAGATATTAAATATTACCAGGTTTTTATAAATCAGTAAAGTTGTTCTGTTTAATTCAGACCTGACACCAACATGCACTCTCAACGAATGGGACTGCACTAACAATCAGATGTTAAAACAATGAAAAGGGACCATTTTCAGAGGTGGTCTGAGATGCTTTTACTTGGATCAGTTGGTGAACATTCCTGACTGCGATATAATATGAGAACTATAATGATATACCTCTCAATACCAATTTTAGTCATCTGCTGTCAGTACTGCTCTTGATCATATGGTGAAGCTAGAACGTATATAAGAAGAAATGCGCAGGATGGATCATGCTTCCAGACAGATCGGGTAGTGACAAACAACACAGGTGTGGCAGATGTACATCCTGATATGTCTCAGAAATAAATGGAAAGTTGAGTTCAAAATTGACAACAAAGAAATTATATCTAAAGTAAGATTTTGATAATTTCAATAGATTTTACATAAAGTCTTGGAGCAGCTTACTGAGAGGCGTTGATTTCTGACTTAATCATATGGGTCACATTTTGGGGACAGGTTTAAACTGGACCTGAAAATCAATTTAAGAACAATGGACACATTGCACATTGGACATTTACCTTTCTGTGGTTAAAAGGATCACAAATGGCCTCTTCAGCTTCGGCAACGAGCTCTGTGAGGCTCCGAATCTTGCGCATCTAAACAGAAAAGACACATTTATCACACTCCATACAGTGAAATGAAATTTTTTTTACTTATTTTAAGTATATATATATTTTTTTAGGTGTGTCTGTGCTAGATTAAAACAAAATAGTGTTGAATATCAAGTGGAAAGATCCCCCCCCCAATATTCCAATGTTCTTTTTTTTTTTTTGCCTGTGTAGCCAAAAACCTTCAGAATTTAAATGGCCAGAAAATATAATCTAGTTCTTATTGAGAAATGTATCCACTAGGGCCAAAAAACAATTAATCGTGATAAATCGATTATTGAAATAATCGTCAACTAATCTAGTAATCGATGAATTGTTTACTTGAGTATAGAAACTCTAAAACATGCTTTCAGCTGACAGAGTGACTCAGAGCGGTAATTATACCAAGATTAAAAAAACAAATATATATATATAAATATTTTGTATTCAAGATAAAAAATTCTCTGTCAATATGCTCTATCAGAACTCCTCAAGCAGAAAAGTTTTAGTTTAAGCTGGTTGAATTTCGCAAAAAATCTTCTTCAATCTTTGTTTATCTGATTATTCATCGGGAAAAAAAACTCAACCCAACTCAAACTCAACAGATGAAGTGATTTGCAAAATAATCGTTAGTTAGTTGCAGCCCTAATAACCACAGCTTTTAACGAGGACACCACGATCCATTAAAAATGTATGCCTCAAGTCTGTCCTTCACAGAAGAGTGACAAGTTGACAGCCATTTTTAATAGAAAGTAATAATAATTAGTCATTTTATCATTTCAATACAAACAATGTAGGACAGAGTCTGCATCTACAACTTTAAATGTCTCTATACATCCATCCATTTTCTGTCACGCTTATCCCAAGCGGGGTCACGAGGGGTGCTGGTGCCTATCCCCAGCTGTCTATGGGCAAGAGGCGGGGTCCACCCTGGACAGGTCACCAGTCCATCGCAGGGCAACAAAGAGACAAACAACCATCCACACACACACCTAAGGAGAATTTAGAGAAGCCAATTAACCTAACAGTCATGTTTTTGGACTGTGGGAGGAAGCCGGAGTACCTGGAGAGAACCCACGCATGCTCAGGGAGAACATGCAAACTCCCTGCAGAAAGATCCCCAGGCCAGGAATCGAATCCAGGAACGAGCAAAATGTTGAGGAATTTTTAAATATATATATATATATATATATATATATATATATATATATATGTAAATAAACTTTCCATAAATTGATGTCATGTTACCTAGGGGGCAATGTAGCTCTGTTCATTTCCCTCGTGAGTTATTGTTTTATATATGAATAAGTTTGATTTAAATTCGTGATGAGTTGACCGTTTTTACGTAGCTCACCTTCATCATCACACTTTTCCACTTATTCTGGCATTCCTCGGGAGAATAGGGAGGAAACGCTACTTTATCCCAATCTACAGCAGAGAGAGCGATACGATAACCTCTCGTCTTCTCACTGTCTGGGATGTTGCCTCTAATAGAACCAATGAGCTTCAGGATGTTTGCAGTGCTCCACTCTATAGCCAATACACACATACAAGGAAAATAATCGTTTAATATTGATTTAACAAGAGTATTTTCATTTTCCAATTAAATTTACTCACCAGAATTTGCATCCATTTCATTTTCACTCATTTTTAAACCAAAGGGTCTTTCCTTTAAAAAGTTTTAAAAGTGTTAAAACACGTAGCTGAGCTAGTAAGCTTAAAGAAGCTTAAGGAGCAGATTAAAACCTCCAGAAGACTGATACCATCCACATGTCTCTCGTTACAGTTCTGAAAACACTCCTAAGGGTACTTTGCTCAAAACCGGAACCTTGCAGTGGGAAAGTCCAATAAAAACGCAGAACTGATAAACGTCACCAGAGCACTAAAAAAATTAACCAATAAAAAGTTGTTTCTTGTTCTACTAGTTTATTAATGGTTGGCAAAGCACTGTAGAGTGAGCATAGTCGCCACCTACTGGTGTGGATTGTGGCTTCTCTTGATGTAAATTCCTAAGTCCTAAAAGATTAATTATTTTGTTTCCTTAAATACTGTATTTTCAACCGTCTCGTGTATCTACTTTATTGCTTACCTTTTGACGTTACAACAGTGGTCACTTTCCCACATATAATGTAGTTACATCCACATCTTAATCTTGTTCCTCCCTTTTCCTTTTGATCCTATAAAAACTATATCCCTTCCTTCCTACTTTTATGCCAGCCTTTCAGCTAATGATAAATGCTGCCTCTAATTTACTATTATAGAATGTAACAATTTTAGATTTGCAATCTTTTATGTATTTTCCTTTACTTCCATTGAGCTGATACCCATAAAATACTAGTTAATCCCATCCACTTTATTTTGAATAATAAAAAAAAATTAATTCCTTCTTTATCTTTTACATTAAGGTTCATTACACTCATCCATTCACCTGATTTATTTTATACAATGCATCTTTGTCTTAACCGATCTGACAGGCTGTGACAATCAGTAGGGATTTTATTCCTTTACTTTTCTAACTTAAATTATAAAAAATAAGTATTCATCATTGTTATGGTTTTAAGAGTCAATTACCAGTAAAGAAAAACAAAAACAAAATATCCCCCCAAAAAAGACAAACATGTACACTGTTGCAGGAAACAAAAATGTTACACTCCAACAAGCAGGAGCTGATTTAGCCTTTAAAGCAGTTGGCCCCCTGACAGTGAATATTTTAATAAAACTGTTTTCAAAAGAATCAAGGATGTTTCTTTTCGGAACCTTTAAAATAGATTTGTAATTCAGCACTCCAGCTCATTACCTCATTTTAACAAAGGATTTTCAAAGTGGACTTAAGATGCGTCTTCATTGGTTTGATTTGTTCTGTAGTTAATATAAAAACACTTGGTAAAATTACTTTTTGCAACTTTAAAGAAGAATATTTCTTCTCCCCCCTTGAATCTAATGGGACATTCAGGACCATTCAGCTGGAAAAGCAAATCAAAAAGAATAGTGAAAAGAAAATGATTTTATTTTTACACTGAGCATAGTAGCGGACAAATCTATAACATATGACCCAATGAATAACACAAAGATATATATAAATAAAATAAAGTCCAGATAAAAAAAGCAAAGAATATTAACCATTTGCATCTTTTTTTCCCTTTCATCTTTTAGGTATCTTTTTCAAAGCTCCATTAAAGGTGTTCACTTTAATCTGAAGTTGATTAACAATCTGAGAACAAAGTCAAGACTACAGGCTTATGGGTCCACAATGGAGACATAATTCTTTCTAAAGAAAGTTTACCAAGTGGGAAATTCCTTTTTCCTCCATTGCATTAAGTCCATCCCTATATTCCGATAGCGCATCCAGGCCTCTCAGCAGGTCAGACGATCTTTGGTTACACAGAGTCCCAGGTTGTGTTTTCTTTGGGCTTTCCATGACAGAAACCAGTCCATTGATCATTGTTATGGATTTGACAAGGGAAAACCTGTCTGTTATTAATCATACATGTCAAACATGTCGCTGCATTCTTCCTCTTCTGACTCTTCAACCTAATGATGAAAACATGATAATCAAACATAAGGAAATTTATCAGGTAAGATTAATAAAAATGCATTTTATACATAAATAAAATAGCTATTTCTATTTATAATACAACCTTTTTTCCTCATTGTGTAACAAATTAGACTCAACATTGTAGTTTGTAGATCAGAATTATTTCTATTCAATAAATGCCATAATGGGAAATAATTTCTTTGTGATTTCAGGATGAAAACGTGAACTGAAAGCACGGAAATATCCAACCGTCATTCAGCTCGGGAAGGATACAGTGTCTGTGAAGAGCTGGGAACATGTTTTATTGCAACATATACAACTCAGAACAAACGTGTAAAACCTTACAGGATTCTAGACCCAACCTGGTCAGACAGTCATCTATAATGAAACAAGTTCTTCATCATCATCTGCTGAAAGATTACTGAGGGTGTAGGAAGGCTTTACTCCAAATGCAATCAGGAGTGAGGGCCTTTAAACCTGAAATTTTAATAACTGGAACATGAAGAGATGAAAGTTGCAAACCAAAGAAAAACATCCCAACTGAAGCAAATGGAAGGTAGTATGATGGAGTTGGGGCATTTTTAGGCTGGAGGGACTGGTGTACTAAAACAGAGGGTGTCAGGAGGACACAGCATTAGGTAAAATATTGAAGCAACCAGAGGTGTTAAGTTACAAAGTACAAATACTTTGTTACCTTACTCGAGTAAAAGTTTTGGCTAATCTATACTTTACCTGAGTAATTATTTTTTAGAGAACTTTTTACTTGTACTCCTTACATTTTTTGCAATTAATCTCTACTTTCTACTCCTTACATTTTAAAAATAGACTCGTTATTTTGGTATTTAAAAAAAAAATAAGAACCATCAAAAATAATTAGTTTTATCCAGATAATTAATTTACACCCCCACCCCCCCCCCCCACCCCCCCCAAAAAAATGTGTTTTTCAGTATGATGCAAAGATAAATTTGACACTATTATCAATAGTTATACAACTAAGAAAATTAGGCATATGGAAGTCATCCAGAAATGTAGAGAAATTTTCCTTTAAAAGGTAGCACAGTGAAGCAACTGTCCTTAACATTTTTGTCCTGTATTCCTTTTACTTTTATACTTTTATTTAAAAAATGGTACTTTTACACTTTTACTTGAGTAAAAAGCTTAAGTTGATACTCTAACTTCTGCAAAAGTGTTTTTAAACAGTAGGATTTATAAAACTACTTGAGATATAAACATGAATACTTTTGACACCTCTGAAAGCAACATCTGAAGAAAGAAGTGTAACTTACAAATTGATCTTGTAATTAAACCATGTCCCTAAAAATACCAGAATTTTGTTACTGAATTAAAGACAGCGTCAGTGTATTGGAGTGGCCATAACAAACACCTATTTTAGTACCATAGGAAAGAGGAAGAGTAAAGAAGGTGAATAAACATCGGTTACAGCAGGTCCGTTTGGAGGGTTTGGACAAAGACTGAGGAAAAAACGTCACAAAGTTACTTTTAAAGTTATAAACATAAAAGAAAATTTAAACAAATAAAAAAGGAAACATCTCTACTTCTGAATTTAAAAAAAAGAAAACGCACTCTTCTGTTATTTTTGCATTTAGCAAATCAAAATAATTTTGGGGAAAAAAAGTCTGACTCTCAATTTGACAAACAAGGAGGACAATATGACTATGTGCCTTTATATGGTATATAAAATATAAAAACCTCAGATTCGATAAGGTTTTCCTCTTCATCACCACTCAAGACGATGTCTTCATCTTCTGAGTCCTGTGTGCCAAAACAAACATTATTAATTATTTTTCAAATCTTTTATCCTTTTGATTTATGATGTAGAATTGTCAGTTTAATAAAATTCATGCCATCTGGTGTTTCTAGCAGATGGAAAAAGTTAAAATATTGATACAGGCTAAGAGATGGATGCAAATATAACCGTATTAATACTTACTGAAGGTAGTTTAAGATTCCTTTCTTTGATTGACAAGCTTTGTTTAAGATACTGTTGCTTCTGTAAAACATGAAATGATTTAAATAATACATTTGTTTCAGACACCTATGAATACAAAATAAATAAATCCATTTTATGGAACTTACTCTAGGTTTCCTTTTCAAGTAATCCTTCTGCTCTTTTGGAGACAGCGTCTATTCAAAAAATACACAATGTGATTAAAATAATATCCTCGAAGGCATTTTAAATGCCCGAGTTAAAATGAATAACTGGATAAATACCTGAAACCACTGTTTCAAGTCTTCTTTGTATTTTCTCATGTCTTCCTTGATAATTTTTGTATAACGTTTCCTCTCTGATTCAGGAAGCTCATGCCATTGTTTCTTGATCATTTGAATTTGGTCCTTTCCTTTCAAGGCCTTATCAATATATTTTACCTGCTCTTTATGAAAATAGATAAATCTAGAGCTGAAAAAAAGAAAAAAAAAGTGTAGTTGCTAATTACTCATAATTAGATAGTAATTCATGATGTAACAAGGGGACTGATTACTTTTTCAAACATAGGCCCATGTGGGGTTGGATATACATTGTCCCTCTTAATAAATTTGAATAATTGTGATATTTTTTTGTTTAATTTTTGGGAGACAAAAGTTGGGATAACACTTTTTGTATAGCTCAGTGTTTACTCACTGTGTGGGCATCTTAGGCTCGCCCGGCATTTTCACATAATGACCCTGCAGAGACATGAGTTCAGTTCAATCTATAGGCATTTCAAAAATACATTCACCCCAAAGGAAACAGACACAGAAAAAAAACCAGAGCTTTCAAAGTCTCTCCTGGGGTCCATTACAATTAGCAGGTTTAAACAAACTAACACTCAAATCCTCAACTCTGAATTGATCTAGCCCAGGGGTCGGCAACCCAAACTGCTCAAAGACCCATATTGTACCAAAAAAAACAAAAAATAAATCTGCCTGGAGCCGCAAACATGTAAAAGTCTTATATAAGCCTCGTATAGCAACTTGGGCTCTAAGTGTATTAGCCCACTATGGAAAAGCACTATGTGGGCTTAAATATGTAATAAGCATTCATGATTAAATGTTTATCCTGGAGCAAATGTCACATAGTAGCAGGAGATGAGGGACGCGCAGTGAATGCTCTCACCACGTTTTTGTTGCACCACGTTTTTGTTGCATTGATGAAATTATAGAAACACGATAATTAAATATTTTTATGGTGGATGTGTTTCTGTTGGGAGGAGCTGATAGACTCATGAGGAACCAAGCAGGAACTAACATCCATCAGAGCAGAGCACTCTAACCCTGAAATCCCACATCCTCCATCGCCTGCGTTCCTATCCATGCATCAGAGCGCTACCTGTTGGATCTATGAACGGCCCCAAGAAGTGCCTGTTTCCTGTTGTCATGATGACATCTTATAGGCCGGTAGGTTGACCAATAAAACATGTGATGCCAATAAAAAGAAAATTAAAAAACAATCTATTGGACATTTTTTTCTAAGTTTGAAGACTTTTCGCTTCCCATCAAAGAAGGGTTTGTTTAAAGTCTTATATCAGTAAGTCTCATTACAAAGTCAAACATTACACCTCACCAAAGTTGCCTTTGGGACTTTTATGTTTTTTTCTTTGATGATCCGCTGCCTCTCCTCAACATCTAATTGCTGTAAAAGACAAACACACACACACAAAAAATGTTAAGCATTGGCTCTTTCAATTAGGACACAGTAATTAAGCTGTAGAATTGCTAGCAAATAAATGGATCATTAAGTTGCTCTAATTTTTAGCGCAACTTATTTCACTTAACTGTTATCTCACCACTCGGGTCTTCTCACAATATCGACTCTATCCAGAGTTAGGTTAAAACTACTGTGATTGAAGCCAGCTTAAGTCTAAAGAGCCGATATGCTTAAAACTTTCATTTTTGATAAAGTCGTCTATACCTTTGGTAATAGATTTAAGCGCCAAGTTCTTTTTCTATCCTAGACATAGCTATGAGCTCATTATTTACTGACTGTATGTTAGGGCTGGACGAAAAACCAAATTTTTTGCCGTTTTGTCCTTTATTGCAATAACTGGGGAAAATTTTTCCCATGTTGGTAAAAGAAATAAACTTAATTGTGCCTTTTTCCTGTGTGTGAAGGTGGGTGGCATTTCCTTCCCCTTTAAGACACTGCAGCACGTCTGTCACGTGACTCCAGCCCAGCAAAGAAGCATCTTACACAGGTGTAAACTAAATTACATAACTTAATATTATTTATTTGTTATGTCTGATAGAGGAGCAGGAGCATTTATCACTATTGAGGTAAAACTGCCCAATTCATCGTGATATTGATTTGAGGTCATATCGCCCAGTCCTACTTAATGGGTTCTCTTTTATCCCTTCACCATAAAAATTGGCTAAGAGCTTGTCTGCTTAATTCTTTCCCAAAAAGAGCTACCTGTGGCGCTAGTTTACACTACTTTTTGAAACACAAAAGTATTTATAGATCAGTGATTCTATCTTAATCTTTTATTTCTGCTTCTGTCTACTTGATCCTCTAGGCTCAGCAGATAGTTGCTCACACTGAGCCTGGTTCTGCTGGAGGTTTCTTATTGTTAAAAGGGAGTTTTCCTCTCCACTATCGCTGCATGCATGCTTAGTTTGAAGGACTGCTGTTGATTCAATACAATCGGCTTGGGTTCCTTAGATAGAAAACGTTTAACCAAGCTAACAGTATGATCTGATTGGACCATCTCTATAAAGTGCCTTGAGATGACGTGTGTAAATTTGAGCTATATAAATAAACTGAACTAAATCTCTATGCTAAGAGATGATTGTACCAAGTAGCCATGATGACTGTAGCCAAGTGTGCAGATGTGTCTCTCATAAAGAGAGCTGTGTTTATAAGCTAAAAAAAGAATAAAATATACTAATACTCTTGTAGTAAAAAAGAAGTATTAACTTACATCTAGATATTTGAGCAGTTTGTTCTTATACTCTTTCTTCATCTGAAATAAAAAACAAATTACAAAACTAAATACACTTGAGGTTAAAAAAATATAAAAAAAAAAATTCTCTTTGCTTGGTTATCTGTTCATACCTCGTCACAGCGTGAATTGTACTTCTGCTTCTCTTTTTTACTCATTTCTCTCCAGCGTTGACTCGAGGTCTTCAAAAAGTTAGCTCCAAGTGAAGGCCCACTCGCTTTAGAAAATTCCTTAAGGAACAGGGCACGACCATGTCTAAAGATTTAGAAAATAATAAGAGATGCACTTTACACATATATAGTTGCATTGATCCGGTCAGGGTTTGCCTATACGTAGCACTAAAGAACCAGGCTCTCACTGAGCCTGGTTCTGCTGGAGGTTTCTTCCTGTTAAAAGGGAGTTTTTCCTCTCCACTGTCGCTACAAGCATGCTTAGTGTGAGGGATTGCTGAAGACTCAATGAGTCGATGCAATCAACTGGTTTTCCTTAGATAGAAAACTTTGTATCAGTCTGACTGTATGATCTGGTGAACTGTAAAGTGCCTTGAGATGACATTTGTTGTGAATTGGTGTTATATAAATAAACTGAATTGGATGCTGAGAGGTACAAGACACAAGTAGCAATGTACTTCACTAAAATAGGAGCTAAAGCTGCAGAGACAAAGGTTTACAGATGCCTGCTCAACATCGCAGAAAAAGCAGAGTCAAAATTTGAAATGTGAAATATCCTCAAAACAAAAGGCATAAAAACAAGGAAAAGATCATCTCACAGTGAGAAAACGGTCGTCTTTGCAAGATAAATATACCGGTATAACAGCATACAGTTTGATAATAAATATATATCATGTGTCACTTCTCATTTGCCAAAGCTTACTTCTGACGAAGTAAAAAATAAGGTGGAGAACAGTGAGTGTTACTTACGGAGGCGGCTTCTCAGGCAGTTCTTCGTCTTTACTACAGCCTTCACCTCCCTTTAAAAAAAAAGGACCATAATTACTAAATACTTATTACCTACTTCAGTGGTTTTTACACAGACTCAAATTTCAAAGCTTTTTCAGAAAGCTAAACTAAAATAGCTGTACTTTGAAATCTAAAGCATTTAGACTGACTTATAATGTCCTGATATTTAAACTGGGTCTATAGCCAGATAGGTCTAATCTAAAGCTGATCTTTAGAGATTTCGCATAAAGAAGAACCCTGAACCCTTTAGGTCCTCAACATTACCCCCTTTTCAGTCATTTAAAACAAATAGTCTTGACCGAAAAATGCAGAATTGCCAAGAAAACGAACAAAAAGGTCAATTTAAGTGAACAACACAAATAAAAGAACACATTTCTTAAAGATTCCAGAGGAAAAGCCAATTGGATAAATACGTTTTTCTAAAAACTCATACAGATACTGAAAAAGATTCTAGATTGGCTGATGGTAAAAATAAATATATTTAAAGGCAAACATCGATTTCATTGTCTTACTTTTCCATAAGTCTTAAACCTCCAGCTGCTAGTTGGTAGTATAAAGCCCAAGGCTGTTACGGTATGCTGCAGCAGAGCAACAATATCTCATCAGGTTTTTCAGTGCTATATTTTTTTTTTTATCCAAATTTATCATATTTATCATGTATCGTATTGCTACATTCCTGTCAATTCCCATCCTATCTACCAATGTAAACAATTAAAGCTGATTAAATTGGTTTAGCATTTAGTAGGAATGCTTTTTTCCCAGCAATTCATACAAGCCTTATGCAATTCATTACCAGGAAAGGGTGAAGACGGAAAAATCACTTACATTTTTATTGGACCTCCTTTTCCAACTCCTTTTCATAGGAAGGCGCAGTTTATTGCTAATACTGAAAGAAAGAATTTTCTTTATATTTTTCATTTAGTTTGGCAATTTTATCAAGAAATAAAGATTTAAGTTGCTTCTCTACCAGAAGTCGTGCTTCTTTTTGTTATATTCACTAAGTTCAAGTGAATGTTTCCTCACATATTCAGCCTAAAGAGAAAAAAAATGTAGATTATCTGCCAGATTTCTGTCTGTTGGTAATAGTTAGTATTATTTCACACACAGGATAACAATGGAAAACCCACCTTCTCCTCATCTGGGAGGGAATCATACTTCTTGGCCAATAACTTTGTAATCTCTGGACAAGACAGTTCTGGATGGTTATTCTTACAGTTGGACATTTCTTTCGCAATATATTTCATTTTAGGATTAACAGGTAGTTTGGGCAACTCTGAGTGGATCTGCAAAAAAAAAACAAAAAAAAAACAACCTTACATTTACAAAAACAAAGATGAGTCTGCTGTACATCTAATACTAGCAAAACACACAAAATTAAATTATAAATGAAATATTATTGCACTGTAAAGAAATAGTTATAGTTACACATCAAACATATGTAGGTTTGACAGTTTTCGACTTACAGTTTTGTAATTGACAGGGTGTGAAAGCAGAGCTTCAGCCTCATCAAGGAGCTCGGGAAGGGTGCGGTACCTGCGCATCTGAGCGACAACAGAAGTTATCACACTCCATCTGATTTTGGGTCAGATTTAGTTCTGGACTGTGGCTCAACTGTCCTGTTGGTGTTAATACATTTACAAGGACATTCTCCCACAAAGTTTTAAAACATAGTTATTGGCTGTTTTGGTGAAAATTTTACTGTAAAAGGTAATGATAGAGGCATGTTTCCACCATGAGCCATATTCTGATGGGAGTTTTACCAGAGACCATATATAAGATGTAATAATTAATGTCTGTTATGTTAATCTCATGCAAATCAGTCATGTTGGTGATTCATTATTATAATAATTCTCCACAAATTCCCTGCTTTAATTTGCTAAACACCGATTTCCTCTGATAACACTCCTCCAATGTAAATAAGCATTACATTCATTACAATTATGTATAAGAATTAACTTTTGAATCGGAGTGATCAAGGCGGTTTTACCAGTCACATATGGAATAGACCCCTAAATCACATTATCCCAGTGCAAGAGGGTCATATTGGACAACAGCATGCGAACGTGGTGCACATTCATGAGTTATGTATGGGGGTCCACAAATGTTCAGTCTGTATGTAAATATACTTCGACTGTAAATTATCATCCATTGCAACCACTGTGAGCTGTTTGGCAGTATGCAACATTGATATCATTTACCTGATGTCTGCAATCTTTGGTCAAAACTCAGACTACAGGTATTTCTCCAAATACAGCACATAAAAAAATAAATAAATAAATAAATAAAAAAAGCAGACATGGGGGATCCCCACTAATCCCGTCAGAATAGGGATTTTGGAAGCGTGACCGGAGGCCATTTCTACTTTTGATACCCAGTGAGCTGAAATGGGATAAAACCGATGGTGTAAAGTATGACCCTGCCCTAATAGTTATTCACACCATTCTTGGTGGCAAGTGCCTGATTTACATGCAAAGTCTATGGGGGATGTCGGCTTAAGGTTCAGAGTAAGGAGAGACGTATCTGAGCATTTTGGAGTCCGAGCATCCAGCGTTTGACATTGGATTTCAGTAAATTGAACTTATCTCACTGGATGCCGGAGCATCAACTAATCAGAAATGCTGATCTAGGAGTTTTTTTTGGAGGGAGACAGACACGACATGCAAGCTGTCATTGCTTCTGCAGAGCTTTTGCATATGAAAAATAGATAAGTATCAAGGGAGTTAAACTCCAAAGGTAAAAAATGCAGGAGGAATGGATTGTTATGTAGAAGGAACAGAGAGCGAGCTCTGATCATTATTGCTGCACTAAAATAATTTTTATAAACTATGGCAAAACAGTTTATAAATACCCATATTAACTGTTTTTACAACATACCTTAAAAATTCTTTATATTGATGGGAAGTCTTTATATAGAGCTGTTTGTTTCGACCATGCTGAGCTGTCCTTTTACCATGAGGCATTGCAGCATCAATTTTTGCCATCTAGTTTTCTGATTGTTCTACTGTACTGCCAGCAGATGGTGCACATTTTTTCTCTCCGCTTATTTCCCTGGAACTGTATTTAGACTGAAATATCAAAATCACTTTCAGGATAAATACATAGTGTGTCCAGACTTTTTTAAAATCATGGTCAAATGGCTTTTAGTTTTTTCTGTATAGGCATATAATGTTACTATCAACACTTCGTCGAGGGGAATGACTGATATGTGTGCTATATTTCTGAAAGCAATGCATGTCATTTGTCAGTTTCTATTATAAAAAAAACATTTTTTTCTATCTACCAATCCAATATCTACCAATCCAACTTGGTAGCCAGAAAAAAGTCAAAAAAATTTGTATAAGATTTTTGGGCTGCATTGCTCAACCCTAGTTTCTGTTTTTACCCATATTTTTTATATCATCATGCATTAGACCGCTGCAGGCAGAGAACTAGGTCAGTCATGGGTTTTATAGGTCTTGTTAAACAAGAAGAGAAAGTACTTCTAAATGTTGCCTGAGACCAACATACAGTAAAATGTTACAAAAATAAAAAAAAACAGACAGACTTTATCACTGCAATACAACATTTACTGAATGGCCATTAAAATAGAGTCAGAGGCATATTGGAAAAAAGAGGAACAAGAACTTTGCAATACTAAAAAACTGAATATGATTAAAACTGTTATTTAGAGTAAAGAGATCCAAGTAAACTGGTAGAAATCAGCTTGTAAATACAGAGTGACATCATTCCCCAGTCTGCTTACTTAATATCATAATTCCTTCATCCATTAATCAAAAACATGAATTATTTAATCCGTTCAATTCGTTTTTATAAAGAGTTAGCTTTTGTTATTCTTTGGCATACACAGGAATGAGACAGATTACAATTTGTGAAGCTTCTGTTTTGGTTGTGAAAACCCAAAAGTGCTACTTTAACCATTTTTTGACAAAAGAAAACATCCGAGGCCAGATTTATAGTAACCACATCATTATTGGTAAAGGCAAATTGGGCCAGAATGTATGCTTCATAAAGTAAACTGAGAGCCCAATGAACAGTAATCCCTGAATCACATTCTGAGGGTTTCACTTTAAAAACAAGCTGATAATATGCAGGATCAAAGTCAGCCGATCTTTACTGAATCAGATTCAATTCAACTTTGCAGAAATCAGTCAAATGAGTATTTCTCTAGGGTTTATTACAGTCATCACAAACAATGTGATATATTTCTAATGTGGTCATGTTTGCAAAATGAAAGAAGGCAGGATGACTGGATGCATGACTAACTTTTAAAAACAGACATGGATCACATCATTTTATTTTTAGTATCTTTGTATCTTTACTTGAGCCAATATTTTGTCACTATATTTTTAAGTCAAATATTGTACTTCTTATTCCACTACATTACCAGGAACCTGCTAGTTACTTGTTCCTTTTGGCTAAGCCTACCTTTGTAATCTGCTGTTTGTTTCCTTTTCTTGAAATGCAATTTCAACATGCAGGATAGCAGCCTCTAGTGCTGAATCTGGATACCACTGTTTTGGAGATTTGAATGACATTCCACAAATGTGAGAAACTCAGGGCAGATGTCATTTGTTGTCTATAACTTTTATTAAGGAGTGAGTTGATGCCATATGTCCAAGAGGTAGGATAAATTTGCGGTAATAGACTCAACCTTAAACCTCTATTCCATAGTTAAAGTGTGATGAGAATCAACACTCTCCTCTTTTCTCTTTGTTTTATTTAATAAAAAATAATAATCAATATGTCCTTATGTTTTTGTAGCATTTTTTGGCTGAAGTTCTTTACAGGAGGTGCAGAATTTGTAGCAGAAGCATTAATACATCAGGTAGTTTCTGAAAGTTACAAGGTTCTTTACTCATTACTTTTTACTCTTTTTACTTTTTTACTCTGAAAATTTTACAGAAAAGTACCGATGTTAGAAATTTTTGAATACTTAAGTACTTTAAAATGTATGTACTTTTATATACTTATGTATTTTCAAAAGAGAGTTCTTTAATAAATGAGTAGATTATTGACTGAGTAACTTTATTGTAGTTTAGTAAGATTTGACTAGGAGTATCAATACTTTTACTCAAGTACTACTGTTGAGTATTTCGTCCACCACTGTTTAAAACTCTGGGATAGAGAATCAGTCTGAAAACGCATCATTTCTCATTGTACTGTTTTTTTATCCAAACTTAACACCAGCATTTGATCAGGAAATCAAGTGCATGTTAAGAATAAACCCTTTTCTCACCTTCACCATAATACTGTTCCACTTCTCCTGGCATTCCTCTGCAGAAAAGGGAGAGAATGCAACTTTATGCCAGTCTACAGCCTTCATTTCTCGGATATACGTTTCCGGTCTCCTGCCCGTTGGGAGGTGTTCTTTCAGAGAAGCAATGAGCTGCTTGAGGTTTTTCTGCGTCCATTCTGGAGTCAGAGTATCTTTAAAGAAAAGAAAAGTTAAATATTATACATGCTAAGATTTAGTTAAGCTTCAATCAAGTGTACTCACCCGAATCAGCATCTGAATCAACATCTTCCTCATTTATCTTATACATGTCAAAGTAGATTTTCTTTTCTGGGAACAATCTGCAATGTTTTGAAAAATAAACCAGGCCAGGTGATACTTAAAAATCTAAAAAGCAGAAACAAACTTTAAAAGAGGGCGATTTTTTACATTAACAACTCTTATCTGAAAACACAGACCAGAGAAGGGATAGTTGAACAAATAAATATTGATTCTCACTAAATTCAAAAGGCTAAATCAGCCTTTACAAGCAACTAACGCGCACACATGGCTTTCCTGGCTGTTTTGTTCTACTTCCGTGTCAACTTCCGTATAGGCGGAGCCAAATGGAGGGAGCATCCAATCAGACGCGACATGAGCGCAACGTCACAGAGAGGGCAAAAAAACAAAACAAACAAAAAGAACCCGTCAACAATCGTTTTTTTCTCGTTTTCGTTTGTTTTATTTATTTTTGTTCCAATTATGGAAGAAGAAAGACATATTGACAGTCTAAGTATCATATATTTTGAGTTTTATTCAATTTCCAGGTACTCTGCCCACCTCCTTATCACCTGGGTACTGTGATGCACAGTATTTTCAGTATTTTTTCCAAATTTTGAACTCTCCTTTCTTATTCTGATCTGATCCCACTGCTTTCTTCCATATGATTGCTGCTTCCAGTACATGGATTTTTGTAAAGGGAAACTATGACCTCAGATTGGTATTTTTTCTTTAGATTCCATCACAGAAGTGTTAAACATATTATCTAAACTTCTGCAACCATGGACCTTAGACATAGTGGGGGCCCTGTATTTATTGTGATATTTTAGTTATGAATGTATTATTTTAGTTATTGACAATCTAGTTTTATTTTAGTTAATGAATATCTTTTGATTTTAGTTAGTAAACATCTTTTATTTTATTTAGTGAAGATCTTTGATTTTAGTTAGTGAATATATTTATTTTATTTAGTGAATATCTTTGATATTAGTTAATGAATATTGTTATTTCATTTAGTAAATATCTTTAATTTTAGTTAGTAAATGTCTTCATTTTAGTTGGTGAAAATTTCAGATTTTAGTTATGGAATATCTTTGATATTAGTTGAATGAATATCTTTGAATTTATTTAGTGAATAGCTTAATTTTAGTCATTGAGGGAGGTGACTTGAGGCTTTTTTGAGACTGGAATGATGCTGGCACTATGGATTGATCCAGCGAGGTGTTTAAAAAATGTTGCCCTGCACACTCCTTGTACACCCGCCCTGGACTGGGGCCTTTCTTAGGGGGATTCTCCTCAGAGACTCCCCCCAAGAAAGATATTTAGTGAATATCTTTGATTTTAGATAATTGGTGAACCAAATACATTTCCCATGTTTTCTCAGTATAATAAAGGGTAACCAACAAAACATGGGGATAATAAGCTGTCCTTTATTTATAAGCACTTTTAAAATGACAAGGAGAAAGCATCAAATGTTTTCATCCTATATTTTGTAACAGATCACTATTGTCCTACTACCAAAGCCTCCATTCATTTTGCAGCCATATATGCTTTAAAATTCCAAAAAAATTTTATCAGTATTTGTCTTTAAGTAAGAAAACACACATAGCAAAAGTTTTTCCTTTTGCCTATATTAAGGTCAGTTTAATTTCATGTAAGAAATTTACAGCTTTTGATATGAATTGTATCAGTTTTAAAACTTTTTGAAAATGTTTACATTCTATTATTTATTGTAAATCAGTTCTCTACTCATTCATGATCAACTAACAATCAACTGACATGCATTCCATAAAAAAAAAAAAAATGAATGTAAGAAAAAAAAAACTGCAAGTACACTTCATGAAAAACTAAAATCATACAGCATTATAGGAGATGAACTAAGAGGAGGTGACAACTACACTATTTGTCAGCTGAAAACCAGGACTATACACTTTAAAGCTAGCTGGGTAACTACAATTTATCCTTGGAACGTTTCATGTTTTTTCTTCCATTTCTTCATTTTCATGTTCAGTTTTTTTTTTTTTATCATTCAACCTCTTTTTCTTCTTTCCTTGTTATTTTTCATTTAAACACAGGAATTTTGGGGGTTTTGATCCAGGATGAGTCAGAAAAAAATCACACTTTACAAATGCAGTGATAATATTTTATATTTCAAGAAGCGCATTACTTTCTTTGCTACATTTATGAAAGACATTTGAGCTTTTTCAAACAAGTTTAGATGTTTTTATGTTTAGCTTCAGAAATGCAAAAAAAGAAAAAAGCATAAATAAATATTCTCAGAATATTATTACTAGATGGATTTCGGCAAAATGCTAAAGCTATCATTGATCACAATCAATGAATATAATATGTATCTGCATTTGTGATAATATAGTAAATAAATAACGCATGTATTGTTGCTCATTGGGAAAATAAAAAAGTCCATTGAGCCTAAAAAAATAACTATAAATTTTCTGTTAGGGTTTTAAAAAAAAAAAGTATCAGCAGCCATTGTTGAAGTCCTCTACAAAGGCATCTGAGTTTCACAGTACACATCCTGCCCAGGCTCCTCCTCAAACATCACCTTGGCATCATCAGCATCCAACTGAAACATATTAAATGAGGAAAAACAAATATTATGAGTTTTATACATGCAGGTTGAACATTTATTAACATTTAGATAAGAGGATACTTACACATTTCATCTCCAGTTGGGTGAAGAGACGGCCGGTCATGAGCATGCGGAGAGGGATTGTGAGGATAAGAATAAAGGGAAGAGCAAGGGATATTGGGCTGGACTTCACAAGCCACAGGATGGCGAGGCAAACTACCTGGATGGCCGTAAACAGGTGCATTCTCCCTGTTCTCACCTTTATCCAAAACACACAGAATCCCATCAAGCAGGCGATAATATTATATATGATAAATAAGAGCATGAATCAAGTTTTGTAAGATAGGCTGTTTTAGACTTTACTGCATTACTATCAGCATGATTTTGCATAAACTGATTTCCTGCAACATGGTTTTTAGTTACAGTAAAAGTTAGGAGATTCTTACTTTGGTGGCATAAGGTTCATTTGGATGGTATTTCTTTGGAATGAAAAGAAGCAGCATACGATCCCAAAGCTGGATGCCATTTAGTGATGTCACTCCCATGTAGAGGAAGATCCCAAACAAGGCTGACATGGGGATCAACTTCAAGATCGGCTCCATCAGAATTGATAAACCTGGTTGTAAAGATATATTTAATGAGGAAGATTTATTTTGTGTAATATGGGTTTCTACCTGGGAGGAGAGTGAAAATAAACAGAACCTACCAATAAGCAGGGCGACCACAATGCCGCTCACCCTTTGCTCCACGACGCTTTCTATCTTGGGCTTTGTTCCTTTGCTCATGACTGTGAGAGCGTTGGCGTGGGTTACAGTGCGGACTGTTGCGGCACTCAGCCAAGGCACACCAAATATGGCACTGAGGCCTCCCATGCCCACTAGAACCAGCAAGTCAAAGTGGAAACCAGAACCTTTGACCATCTTGCGCTCAGGTTTACTGATGATCAGACTGCAGAAAAGGTTAAATCAAAGGCAACAGTTACCAAAATGCCTGGGGTTAAAGGTCAGTGAAAGAGCTTTTTCACAATTATCAGAAATGTGAAGTTGGTGTGTTTTTAATGTATTAGAACAACACAAAATTTTTATTTCTTAATATTCAGCCTCTAACAAATGTTCTTCTTAGATTATCCCTTTATTTAGGTTCAACCACTTTTTCACTAGCTTCCTATCAATGAAAATTTTTCTATGACATTACTCGGGCTGCACCATGTTTCACCGTAGTTAAGATGCATTAAGGATAATGCTCAGTTTTAGTTTTTCAAAATATATTGTTTTACCAGTAGGCCAGAAATATCATTTTGGACTTATTTGACCATATTAACATCTACGACGTTTGTTGTGGCAAACTTTCAATGAAGCTCCTGATGTATTTTGTTCTACAATAGTGTTCTCCTTGCTATTCTTCCAAAGTGTACAGGCTTGTGGAGTTTATCGATATAAGTTTTCCAGGTGACAGCCACAAAAAAATATTTACACACAGATGGACAGTCTTTCCTATATATCGAAAAGCACCTGGTTGCACTGGATTTCAACTAAGTGGATCAGAAACAAGAGGCTGAGAAGAGTTTTTTTTTTCTACTTTTATTTTTCAAAAATATTTTTTAAAAGTAATTATTTTCCCTTTATGTACTTCTTTGTGTTGATCTTTTCCATTAAATCAGAATAAATGATCCTGAAGTTTGTGGTTTGGACAAAATGTCAAAAAAGGTAAGGAGATTGGCTTTCTTGCAAGGCACCATACTCACGTAGTGATTTGAGACTCCAAGAAAATGAGGATAAAGACAAGTAGAGCAGGGATGCAGGATGCAAACATCAGCCACACTGGAAAAGATTTGTGCTCTCCGAAGGGATTGATAAGCCAACCTCTTTTGGCTGGATTGGATACCATCAATCCTTTAGGGACAACTAGTTTCTGAAAATGAAAAAGTCAAGTCAAGTCTTTTCTGGGCATTGAAGGTTGACTACCCTCCCAAATCTGTTTTTAAAACTGTTCAACATCTTTTAGTCTTAGAGGTAGAAGTTATAAAAAAAAGAAAAAAAAGACCTACCTGAGTGTAGGTATCCTCAATGTTATAGTCTGCAACAATCATGAGGAAAATAGCAATGGGCACTCCAAAGTCACCAATGAGACGCCTGACCTAAATTGGGGAGACAAAAATAAAAGAAGTCAAATATGATGATAAAATATCTTTATTTTAGTAAAACCAAAGGTGTTAAGTGCTAGTTGGTAAGGTGCTAGTTGGCATGCATTTATAAAACCTAAACAAAAATAAATAGAAATAGGAATCCATCATCCTTTTATGTCTGGTAGACTTACATTACCAGGAAGAAATGTGCCGTTCTTGAACTGCCTCAAAAAATAGGCAATAAAAAAGCAGCCAAACATGAGGCACATGGACAGCAGGGCTGTGTTTGGGTACGGCGTCATCACAGTGTTTACAACTACAGTTATGTTTCCAGTAGCATTGTCATAAGCAGTGGTCTCCTCTATCCTTGGGTACCAGGGATTTTCCAAAGTTGCATTCACATGATCATAGTTTAGAATCAGGGGGTGAGCCTTGAAGATCTAATAAATAAAGGTAAAGAGAACAAATAAATTGACTTGAAATAATTTATTTGAGCAGATGAAATTATCTATGTTTTGAAGTTTTTGTTTACCCTTCCCAACTTGGCAAAGGTTTCATAAATGAAGATGATGGAGATTAGGATGGAGAAGATCTCCTGGGTGAAGCGTGAGATGTAGCGCACTAGAAAGCTGCCCTCAAAGGCCACAATGATCACCACAATGATGACGAGCCACACCCCGACCCACACCCTCCCAACGATGTACTCAATGTCCTGGGACTTACAGAACTGGAAAAAGGAAATTAGGGATATAGTGAACTATGGCCATGATCAAATGTCTTTTTTAAGATACGACCATTAAAACTCACCGCAAAAAAAGCCTCTTCAAATACTAAAAGAGGGCCGGAAAAACCAATGACCAGTATGGGCTGAGCAGCAACAAAGCAGAAGATGATGCCCTGGATGCTGGTGGAAATGAGCAGCTCTGGTACACCCATCATGTTTTCCACCTTATCAGCTGAAGACAGAAATATTTTAAGTTCATTTGAACATTTAACTTTCTATATATTTAAATAGAAATGAATTACACACCTAGTAAGCCTCCAAAAGTGATGGCAGGAGACAAAGCGGCAAAGTAGATAAAGATAATGGCAGCAAGCGCCTGGGCATTCAGGGCATCTGTGAGGTCACTTTTGTAGTATTGGTAGCGCCTCTTTATGTCTCGAATCATCCCACCAAACGGTCGACCGGTGCGTGAAAGGGGATCCTCTGCAAGAGTCCCACTACCTACAGAAACTACAGAAAAGATCAGATATTATCAAAAATCTATGTTCAACATTAACCCTGCTCCTAAGTGTGCTTGTTTTTTTTTTATTGCTATGCTGGTATTATGGTACTATGATAAAAACTAAATTTTTTGTGTAACAACAAGTCCTCATTTGTATTTCAAATAGGTGTACAGACTTTAATACACATTTTATATAAATTGTGAATAGTGATTGCATCAACGATGTTGTTCTTTGCCAAGGTAGGTTACGGAACTTTTGCTTCTCTAACTGTATATTTGTTTATTTCTTCATGTATATGGGAATTATATTTCAGTGCTCCCAAGTGATATAATAATAATTTTCAGATATAAACAGTGGAACTTTGATTTGTTTTATATTTAAAATGATGCAGATACACAATGTTGTGATGAGGGAAGTTAGCAGTTATTGGTTAAAAACCATTGCAGATGTTGTTTTGGTGTGCTGATACACCAACCTCATCAGCAAAGTTTATAACACTTTAGAATAGATTTAAATATGCACTATACACTTTACTATCAAATTCACTGTGTGTGCTAACATGGATCCTCCGTCTTTATCCCGGTTCTAATTCTTTGAATCAGTTTGCATAATTTTCTTGGCTACATACAATATATAGAAGAGTTAAAGCTGTTTTATTTTTTGCCAATATCTGACAAAAATGATCTGCACAAATCTCCTTTGAATCCGCTCATCACTGTGCAGAGCATATTTAAAAAAGGTTTAATTCATAAAAAAAAAAAAAAAAACAATGTATTTGTTCTGAAATTATCAGTCCTGTCTGCCACCCTGCAGTAGAAATCAGTTTTAACAGGTTTTACACATCTTTACAAGGAGTGGTTTTAGGAGCACATGGCCCTGTAGCCCTCACCTCTGCCAGCTTTGGAGTCTCTTCGGAGCATAAGATCTCTACACTGCAGCCTGTCCTTCAGGATTTTCTTCTGAAAATCGATGATGGAGCTGAGCATCGCTTCATCCTTGATTTCAATGGGTGGGATAACGATGCTGCAGTCGATAAAATCCACCAAAGCATCTGTTAAATCCCTGGCACTCTTTGCTTGGAAGGCTGTCTGATTGAAAACCTTGAATGGAGAAAGTTAATAATTTCAATTAATAGTAAACAAATACTTTAATAATTTGTTTGTTTAATTATCAACATATATTCATTATATATTTCATGCAATTTTATATTTGGCAAAGAAACACTATATGTTTGTCAAATCTCTCACTTGATCGGCCATCAGAGCTGCCATAGCACGACCAGTCTCATGGTAGTCCAGGTCAGTGTTGCTTGGGCCAATCAGAACAAAGAGAAAGCGAGCAGGAACGGGGGCTTCCAAAGCAGAATCAAGGGACACTGCCTCTTTCAGCCTCACAAAAGCAACTGTGGGTTTTTCCAGAAAGTCTAAAGCTCCTGGTCATAAGAAAACAGATTGTGTCATAGTTAAACTGTGGAGATATAATGAAGATGTCCAATAAAAGACTATAGATCCATCACTGCCAAAGAAATTTAAAAACTGCTAACCAACTAGTACCATGGAGGCCTCAATATGATCACTTTCTTCTTTCTAAAAAAACACAAAAAAGGGGTTAAAATTATATATTCACCCGTAAAACCAAAGAAGCTCTCATTCACATGGTAAATGCTTTAATCTATCTATATTTCAGACAAATCAAAAATGTATTTGTTCAAATATTTAACAATTTATATACATTTTTCCATGTTACCTCCTCAGTGGCTGAAGGAAATTCTCAGTCTAATAGGAAACTTACTCTTTCCTTCACTGAAAACCTTTGCAGGTCCATCCCATCAGTCAGCTTTTGGCTTTCTGGGTCCGCCGATTCACTGCAAGTAGAGCAATAATATAATTAATTTGTCTTAAATATGTAATACAGACATGAAAACTGGTTAAATATTCCAATATAACTTTAAACAAGAATCTGTTCAAAAATTCTCCATCTGTCAAAGTAACAGATTGAAATTTTGTTTTGTCTGCAAAAGCAGAAAAACTAAATTACTTCTGCCCATTTAATTGTAGACTATTAACTATTACTTATATCTATGTTAAAGTAAAGAAATCCATTCAATTTATTTATTCATTTTAAGGAAACTAATTAATTTATAATTGAAAAAAAAAAACCCAATAAGCTCTAAATGTCAAAGACAAATTTAAAGGGCAAGTTAATGTTATGTACTGACCTGACTTTGTCTCTAAAGCTAATGTATGACCTGTTTGATATTTTTATTTATTTCATCTTGAAAAAGATTATGTAGTTTTGACCCACTTCCTGGAAAACATTGTGTTTGCGTGACCAAACGTATAGCTGCTGTCTTCCTTAAACTTGTATTGTAAATCATTATTGCAAAACTATCTTCTGATTGCCTCCAAAAGTCACCCAAGTACCATCAGAGGTACTTAAAAGTTTTGAGAGAAACTACAATATTCACAAAGGGAAAACATCTTAGCTGTCTCTCTATATAAATTCCTATACCTAAGGATGAAAAGTGCTTGATCCACCATTTATGAAAAAATTACTTGCCATGAGGGCAAGAGGAATGACTTCAACTCAACCAGGAGGTGGCATCTAAAGTAAAATCACAGAGCAGGATCAGCAGGTGCTGAGGTTCAAGGACACTGTACATACTGTAGAGCTTCAATGGGTTTTAATCTTGACAATAACCCATCTGGTATAATTAAAATATGTCATTTGTAAAGAATGTCAGCACTGGACTATATAGAAGTGGAGATGTGTTTGGAAATCCAATTTCTGAGCCTGTGTTCTGCATTTGGCAGGAAAACAACTGTTGGCTGAGTGACCGGGGACGAATTTAAGGTTTGGTACAAATTAATTTTGGCCCTTGGAGGCTCGTTTTCAGGTCATGGGCTTTGTCCCTTAGTTCCAATGAAAAGACGTTTTAATACTTCATTATTGAAAGAAATTTGGGGATTTTAAGCTTATTATTTTTTTCAGTTTGAAGAATTCTTCTTACTGTTCCAGCCTGCCTTTCAGTCCACATAGGGGTTTGTGTTGAATAACTTGAAAAGTGTCATGATGTTAACCTAAGGGAATACATTTGGAATGATTTAAAGCAACAACTGTAAGTCCAACATTGTCATCCAACATCAGTGTCTGATCTAACAAATGCTCTGTATGAAAAGGCTTTCCGGTAGAGTAGAAACTGTTGTAGCTGCAAAGGGTCAAACATTAAATGTCCGTTATCAGTTCCATAGAATGCTCTCAGACCGTGCCTCCTCTACCTTCTAGATTTCTTGTGGCTGATAATATGCAGCTTATTGTTGGTATAGTAACAGCTGCTTTGGCCCCGTCTAAAAATCATATGTTTTATTCACAATTTACCCAATTTTTATACTTTTTATCTCTTCATTTACAACATACCTACATTTTATTTTTTTAACTGTGTTTTAAAGCTTTTCTTTGAATCAATTCCCCCATTTTTCAGTCATACATATGTAATGTGATGTTTTAAAACAACTCAGTTGAGAGAATATGAGATTTTTTGTTTTGGTTTGGTTAATATGAGCGACATACAGATAATTTTTTTTTTATAATTTGAAGAACTACTAAAATTATGTTCAGATTACACATGGATTCATTAATTCCATTGGCAATAAAGGAATTACTTTAGGATTAGGTTTCATTTGGTGATAACCATCTCAGCCTACTGAGAGGTAGGAGGCTCAATCTAAATAATGGCCATTAAATAGGATGATAACACCAGAAGCGACTGAAAGGGTAAGCAGGTTTTTAATTAAACCCAACAAATAACGAATTTAAAGGCAATAAAATGACCATATGTGTGTAGATCTATCTTTGGCAAAATAGCAAAATATATTTTGATTTTAGAAAAAATATTTACTGAATATATTTTGTGAATATAAAAGTGTTTTATTATCTTTATGATGGGTCTTAAAACCAAGTTCCACTCTAAACAGCTAAGGTAACTATTGTTCATGCTGGTTGTGCTGCAGGCAGACTGTTTGGTGGTCAGTGATGGCTTCTCATAATCATACGTTTGGGTTTCCGAGCAGCAACTTTCTCTAACGCATGTAGCGCAGCTTTAGTTAATGGCCTCAGTTAAAACCTAAATGTATGTCACTGTGTTTGAGTCACTGATGGGTGGTGTCTTTAACGATACCTGCGGTTTTGAAGCAGAGATTTCAGCACACCTTCCCGGTCTCCAGATCTAATCTCTTTCTTGCTAACCATCTCGCCAACCATCTTCTCAGCAATGGTGGCTAAAGTCTTTTCCTCGCAGTCGAAGATTGTCACAACTTAAAAGAAGAAATATTAAAGGTTTATTATAACACAAGAAAATAAATATTTGGTTGTAGTTAAAATAAACTGACATGGGTATCACCTTTTATTTAAAGTAAATAGTGAAATAAAGATAGTTAACAAAAAGTAACATACGAAGCACCAATAAAGCATTGTTCAAAATTATGTCATGATGTTAAAATATCTATATATTGCATTTTTTTAGGAAATAGTAGATTTAAGTTGTAAGTCTTAAAGGTTTATTAAACTACATTTTTTTCTATAGTTCATTGTGTTTTTTTTCCAAATCCTTTTAAAACACATAAACTTTTCAAGATACATTATTTTATCAAAGTCACAAACCAGTGTTCATGGTGCGTCTCAGCTGGATGAGGCTCTTGAAGGTGAGGTAGGAGATATGCGAGGATGCCCACATCCCAGAATGTGGGTCGAAGCTCTCCTCGTAACCTGCCCATCGACCCGTCTCCTTCCAGTAACCCTGCTTCTCCTGGTCCTTCATCTCCTCCTTCTGCTTCACACACCTGTGGGCATACAGATGCATGCAGAGGTAAGGACATGGTTGTGTTGCTGGTTGAATGAAACGCTGGTCAGGGATGGTGGATGAATTGGAGCTGCACCGCCTACAGGCACAGCCTTAGCATGTTGTCCACAGCTGAGGTTTCTTTGGTCATTGCATGTACGTGAAGTGGAATCAGTCAGGTTAGTGAGGGATAAGCCAGTGGTTTCTTTGTAATAGTTCTGCATCTTAGTCTGAATTTACAATCATAGAACTGCCCCACCCCCCCAGAAAGAAAAACAAATACAATTAATTTTTTTATTTCATTTTTTCAAACTAACTCAGATTTTTCTACACACAATAAAGACAGGGAAGTAGCTCATCTGTAATAACTCATGGGATTATCTGTTTTCTTGTCCATTCTGTTGTTATTGTTTTAGGTTTAACTTTATCATTTGGAGGATTGGCTGCTAAAGATACAGCAGAAAGATCTAAACTACAGTACTCTGCCTCTGAAAAGTGTGGTGTACTTATGTATGAAGCCACCTTTACTCTTATACTCCAATTCAATTCAAGTTCAACCAAATTCAAAGGCAAAAAGAGTTTATTTACATTTTAGGAAAGTTTATATTTAAATGTAATTCAAAAGTTCAAATGATAAATGTTTTTGTTATCTAAAAATGAATAATTATCATGATTAAATTATATATATAAAAATGAATAATATGATTAATAATAATAATTAAAGAATGTGGGAATACAAATGTACACTAATAACATTTAGATAACAAAGCCAAAGACCGCTCTAAAAAACACTTTTGACATTTTGATTAAAAGCAAACTAGGGTTTTAGCACCTTTATTGTTTCTGGGAGTTCATTTCAGATTGCTGGTGCATGAAAACTAAAAGCTGGCTCTCCATGCCTGGTTCTGATTCTGGGTTTGCAGAGTAGATTTTAGCCAGAAGACCTGTGAGGTCTGGGTTGTCGATACACTGAAAAAAAGTCTGTCATGTATTTTGGTGTTTAGCCATGCAGTGTTTTATGCACTAACACAGGCATTTTAAAGTGAGGGGTAGAGGAAGGACTTTACTGGAGTCAGGTGCTCCACTTTCTTAGTTTGAGTGAGGATGCATTTGTCACCTCATTAATAAACATAATTCAGATGGAATTAAACTGGACCAATTTCATGCTTTTTAAACATGAAACACTCGGGTCCGAAGCAGGCAGATGGGTTGGATAGACCCCGCATGAATTACAATAAAGCTATTTATATGCATAAATCAAGCGGAACACTATGGAGATACCCGTACTGCTCCATTTTGTGAAAGCAAAATCTGTCGGGCTCTTTTTGGCATCAAGACAATTATTCTTATTGCCACATCACCAGACTGACTAACACCAGACTAAAAAAATAAATAAATAAAATGAACATGAAGCACTCAAATGTTTCAAACAAATGTACTTTTGTTAGAATGTCTGAGTCAAAGGTTAGACGTAAATCGTATAAAGAATCTGCAGCAAGACCTAAAAATGTATGTTCAAATATGCTCTTCATTCAATTTGAAAAAGCAAAGTTTTTATTTGCTAAATGAAATGGTCAAAAATTGTATTCTGCAGATTTGAAAAGCTGTTCAAACTGTAGCTCAGAGCACTCAGAGCTGCAGTTGTAGTTACAAAAATAGTTTCTTTAAATATTTGACTCAAAGGGCCTTACAAATACAAATGCATTCATGTAAGAAAAATAAATAACTGCAGATATCATTTTCCCCTCAATACCTAGTTAGACTGTGCTTTCTGTTGGTCTATTACACAATGTCCCAACAAAAAACACAAAAGTTTTTGGTTGTTTTGTGATAAAATATGGAAAGATCTAATGGAGTGTGAATATTGTTGTAGTGCGAATATGAATGATCGAGGGCAAATGAACCCTCTGTTGTGGTTCAATTGATTTCTCTTCACACACAATGGATTACCAGGACCTGGATCACTGAAAGACTTCACAGACCACAGGATCAGATAAAAATCACCTTCATGCTCTATTGCAAGACAGAGACACACACGATATTATGGGTGTTGTTTTTCCCTGCAGCGGTAAGAGGGACCACATGAAGTTATGTCAATCCTCTCTGACAAACTGGATATGGATCAGCTGAAACTGGGAAGGTAACGCTTTGTGTCTGAAGTAAACATGGTGGCTATCCTGTTTTAGGAGGAAATTGGCTCTATGGTCGGCTTCATTGCTGATTTCTTTTCTAAACATACCAGTAGGTTATTGCTCACACAGGACCTGTTTACCCTCTTAGTGTATCTGGTGAGTGGGTTGGGGTGTCTCACTCACCTGGCAGTCTTCCAAAACGATCTTCGTTTGAGGCTGTTTTCTTTCCTCTGGAACAAACATGATTGATGAAATTAGGAATAATTAAGAACATTAACAAACAAAGATTTAAATAGGGGGCCTCTCCAGCGTGTACCCTTTGTTTTATCTGTTAACGTCCAGCATGAACCTGAACTGGTCCACGTGGGAGCACAAATGAATGAGACCAGCAATTAATCTGAAACTGTTTTCTCTGTATGCTTTTAAATCCAAGTATTCAATATATAACATATATAACAAAAAGTAGCATTTTCATTTATTTTGGGTATTTTTCTTTACTTTTTTATTTTAGCTCGGTCAAATCTCTGTTATGTTTACATATTTTCGATTCTATCTTAGATCAAACCTTAAGTTTTATGTAACAACAAAAAGATTTATTTCCATAACACAGAGCTGGAGATCCTGAAGATTAAACTGGGATGATGCTATCTTGGCTTTTGCCTAATGGTAGGTCTACGTGTCTGTGTCTATATATTTATGTTTCCTATTTAGGATCTTTTCTCATATAATCTCTTGCTCTCTGAAGAACTAAAGGGTGTCAAACTCCAGGCCTTAAGCGATGATGTCCTTCTACCTTTATATTTGTCCTATGTTCCAACAGAAGAAGGAAATTCTTATTCCCTTCTAAGCATCTGATCAGTTCTAAAGATTCCTTGTTGGAGTCTGGCCTTTGAGAACTATTCAACACCTGTGGCTTATGTATTCCAAAGCCCAGTAATACAAGATGCAGACCATACTTTCCAAGTCAGAAGTCCTCTTTTGAGCTTCTTTCAAATTTAGTCTGGTTTAGATTTAGCAATATCTTGATAATCAAGGTTTTTATTCAGATTAATTCAATTAATTTATACACGTAACACAGTCAGATGGGTCAAAATTTTTCTATGGAAAACCAGCTGATTGCATCGAGTCTTTGACTCTGTAATCCGTCACACTGAGCATGCTTGTAGCAACAGTAGAGAGGAAGACTTCCTTTTAACAGAAAAAAACCTCCTGTTAGAACAAGACTCAGTGTGAGCAGCCAGCTACTGAGGCTGACTGGTGTTCAAAGACATAGAAGCAGATATACAGATATTGAGAAAATTTAAATAAGTTATTTGGTGCCGGGGCCCAGGAAAAGACTTCGATGCTGAGAATCGACATTCACTCGCATGAGTAACCATGCAAGACTACTCTACACTAATGGTGGAAAAAGCCAGAGGGGGAGAGGGACTGAGAATAGTCTGAGAGTGACAGAGGAGGTGGGGTGGAGGTGGGATGAAAGTTCGCTTGTGTACTGGAGAGAAGCTAGGCCAGGAGCTAAATGATCTTGAAAGATGATTGGCTTCAGAGGAGGTGCGCTCCGGTGCTGATTGGCTGAAGGTGAACGAGGGACATCACAGGTGGCTCAGCTAAGGTTGCTAAGAGTTTTCCACAATTTTTGGTTAAGCTTCATTTAAACTGCCTACTTAGAACTTACTAGAATAAATATTTACCTTCTAAAAACCTAAAAGCCTACTTGCTAGACCCCTGTTTTTAAGGCTATAGATGGTAAATTAAAGAACATCCACATAGAGGCATATATCTTTCAAAATACAAAAAAAGGTTGTGCAAATGGAGAACATGGTCACTTTTAGGGGCAATGCTTTTTTTTTTTTTTAGGATTGGTGGTAAACTGATAGTGGTAAACTCTAAAGACAAAATGTCCCAAGCAAATTAAAGTGCCTTGCTCATTAACAGTGAACCAACATATCGGAAGCAGAAGTCCTACTGAACTTTTCCTGATTTCAGTATTTTAGTTTAGGAGCCCCATCAGGCTTTATATATATATATATATATATATATATATATATATATATATATATATATATATATATATATATATATATATATATATATATATATATATATATATATATATATAGATAGATAGATAGATAGATAGATAGATAGATAGATAGATAGATAGATAGATAGATAGATAGATGTATATTCAGAATCAGTGACATGATTACCATTTTTATTACTTTTCTCAATTTCTATTTTTTTATTAGCAGCTATTTTATTTCTGTCCTTAATGGAAGGGTATGTAAATCTTCAAGCACAACTGTATATATAGTAATAAATATGCATGCTTTACCTATGGTGTGCACATCTGAATTATTTTTTTCACAGTTATAATTAGAAAAGGAGCTTAATCTGAGCACTTTTCATTCATAAAGTTAAAGAGTTAACCAGAGGTAATTATAAAAGCCTCCCCAAACTTTTGCTTTCAAATCTCCAAAATAGCAGTTGCAGAGGTTGGCTATTCACTAGCATCATGTGAATATACTGCTAAGTATATTAATTTGGTTAAATGATATGAACAGAAGTATCTACATCAACTTTATTGCTGTTATCAATTGTGTTTGTATTTATACACATAAATATTAAAGAGCATGTCAAATATTAAAACGATTTAAGGATACATACTTTATTGGTATGTCTTAGATAGTTATTATATAATTTATTTTCAGCATTTTAAAATGGAAATAAATACACTCATTTATATACATAGTATATCTAATATAATCTGACAAATTATAATATAATATAAAAGAATAGAATATATAATAGAATGGAAAAGTATTTGTCAAATATATTAATTTCTTTCTTTATTTTTCAGTAGAAAACTAAAGTTTTTATGACTAATTGAGTGCAGATAATGAAAAATTTCTGCACCGAATTGTGAAAACCATCCAATGCACAATGACCCAGAAAACAATACAAGTTTGCGTCTTCCAAGAATTGCTCTGCTCCCATATTTTCACCCTACAAAGTTACAGCTTTACTTGCATGCAAAACTTCAGCATAAAAAAAGTGACACTCACCTTCTGCAGGCAAAGCGCTGAGATGTAAGTGTTCAAAATGGGAAAAAAAGTGTGACTTTATAAACATTCCCTCCTAAAACCCACTGTTTCTGCATATGCAAATACCTTTTTTGTTATGATGGGAGGGACTAAAACATATACGCATGGAGACAGACATGAACATGAACACTTTAAATCTCTGGGACATCCTTCTACAGGGCCGTGTGTTCAGCACTAACCCATAATATTGATGGTACATACACTGACTTGACATGCCAGTAAACCAGTCATAGTGTCACACTGTCCAGCCAGCATCCTATCAAACTTTTTTCTGTGTTTATTTGACAACAAAGTCTTGGATTACTCTGCTGTGTCTGTCCACTAACCTTTGTCGTCTTCTTTGGCCACGCTTTAACTTAATGCAGAAATGCTACTACTAGTAGCATTACTAGTATACTACTACTAGCATACTAGTAGTTAGTTAGTATTTTATCTGTGTGGTTTTATGGTTATTTTACTGTTTTGTTTTTACTGCGTATGTTATTTTATTGTAATGTCTCATTTTAACTATGTATGCTGTTTTTATTGTACGGTTTTGTTTTAATTATGAATTTTGTAGCACTTTGAGATTTTTTTTTTTTTTATGTAAAGTGCAATACAAATAAAATGTATTATTATTATTGGTAGAAGAAGTTCAGATGTAATAAATAAAGGAGAGAAATAAGGAAAACTTATCTGTATAAAAAGTTAAAGCAAATGTTTATTGAATAGTTTTTACTGTTGTGTTTCTTACCTGACATATTTTGTCAAACTTTGAAAATATTTAGTAAAATTTAGAATGTCGGGCTAATTAAAGTGTTGCAAAAACTTTCAAGAGAAATATGACATTCCTTATATTTATGCAAATAAAAATAAATGTAAAAACTGTTGAGATCATTTGCTGTCAGGCGCCCGGATTTAATATTAAAAGGAAAACCTACAATTTTACTTTTCTGTCATTCTTTTTTTTTGCTGGTCTCTACCATTTAAAGACTGAGATATGTATGCAAGTCATTGAAAGTGACTATTAACAGCATTAGAAGTGTTACCACAAAGTTTTAGTTTGATTACAGGCTTAGAGTTTCACTCTATCCCTCTAAAACACCCAAAAATCTTTCCAACATAGCTCCTGCTGTATCTTTAAAGCTAGTGTCCCTCAGAAAACATCCATCTTCTCCAAACTCCTTTGCAGCTTCAACAGGTTCTCTTCTTAAACTATCCCCATAGCATGATGTTGCCATCACTGTGCTTTATGGTGGAATTGGTTTGTTCAAAGTGATGTCCATTGTTAGTTTTTGTATTTTTTGGTGTTGTTTTTGTTTCTCACCACACATATATTGCTGACTTTTTGAGTTCTTCTTGCTTTGTGCCATCATAAGCAGTTAAATGTATATTATAAAACAATATAATCATTATAATCAATATAATTGTCAATTCAAAAAACCTTTTCAGTTTTACTTCTAAACATTGTTATACAGCAAAATGGAAGAAACTAATCATAATTTTCTTTTTTTAATTAAATTATAGCCATGTTTTATTATAACAGTTCCATCCAAAGTAAAGCTGTCCAATCATATGCCTGACATAAATGTGCACACTGGCCAATTTTCTCCCATTACTTGTTTTTTTCTGGTTGGATTTAGAAGGCAGGTCAATGTTTTTATTTTTAATCATCCATGATTATTCACTTAGAGGTACAATTGGTAATAATCACATTATTACATACTTATGTTATTTATTATCTACAAACTGAGAATCTTAACCTTTATGTTTTGAATTACATTGGAGTCGGATCCCATTTGTGGAGGCAGACATCTTTGTGTTAAGGCAGCAAAGAGCCGAGTGACTACATGTATTGACAGTGGAGATAGGCCTTTATACAATCCTAGCATCCATCCATCCATCATCTGATACGCTTGTCCCAATTGGGGTCGCGAGGGGTGCTGGTGCCAGCAGTCAATGCACGAGAGGCGGGGTGTACCCTGGACAGGTCGCTAGTCCATCGCAAGACATACAACCATTCACAAAACTAACCTTTCCCAAATTCCCAAGTTGCTCCCAAGCATGTAAGAGCAGAGTTTTAACAATTTATATTATCAATAGTCATATCTTCTAACAAAAAAACTAAAAAAACTAAACAAAACAGAATATATGCTACGTGTGATGTTTCATGGGCTCATTCAAAGTCCTGAGGAGGTCAGTGGCCATTGTGTCCCAAATCCTGCCCTGCATCTACTGTTGATTCAGAGGAAATTAACTGTGGCAGCATGTCAACCATCCTTGCAAACAGTCAACAAATATTCAATTAAGAGAACACAATGTTTTACTAGGGCTTTTTATACTGGGGCGTGTTTGTTAAAAATGATTCAATACACTGTTTTAAAGGTGTCCTCTAATCCGTAAATCTCTCATAGAGATTTTTCCTAAGCAATTTTACAGATTTTTATTTATATTGCATTTGAAAACTGCAAGTAAAGTTCCTTGCATAGCTGAAACTGTCTACTGCAAAGTAGTACTTTACACACTGGTTATTATCAGACATTATCAGAAACTTGTCACTTTTACAGCTACAGTTTTTTAAAGTAAGTGATGGTGAATCATTCCCTGCATAAATGAGATAAACTACAGGAATCCTGCAAGCTCTGATCTTTTTACTTTTAAATCAGACCATGTTGATCTTATCTCCAATTTGGAACAAATTATGGTTAATGTAATCTTCAAATATGTATGTTTTTGAATCAGTATAAAATATTTCACATACACTTCTTGTTACCCTTAAGGCTCAGGACCAAATTTCAACTAGCAGGTAACAATTAAGGAGGCAGTTAAATATGTTATTATTATTATTATTATTATTATTATTATTATTATTATTATTATTATTATTATTATTATTATCATTATCATTACTATTATTATTATTGTTTTAATGAAATCAGTTTAACAAAAATGCTTATTTTAGTTAGAGGTGACAGCAAAACATGAGCAAGTATAAGCCTGATGTGAGAATAGAGCTTTTGGTGTCAGTCAGCCTTCACTTTATCATCACCTGCTGCTGCACGTCTTTTACCTGATTAACACATAACTTTCAAATCTGTTTTCATTTGATTGGCTCACTGGTATGATTTTAATTGGCCCAAATGTACTTAAATGCTCTTGCTTCCCTGTATCTGTTGCAGCCCTATTTTCCATTGCATCATACACCAGTTACCACCATCATTTGTTTTCTGTTTGTCCAAAAACTGTGTTAGATTTCAAACTTGGACCAGTTTAATTTTTAAATGTTAGACAAATATTTTCAAATATTTTTTAAACAAAAAAAAAAAAAAAAAGAATCCAACCTATTCTTTCTTACCGAATTTCAAAATCAGCTTTTTACTAAATTTGACGTACATTACAGTATAAAAAAATAACTTTGAATAAGAGGAAATTATTATATGTGCACAACTGAACAACCACAGAGCTCTAAATAGTTTCTATACATGTACGTGTGTTTACACAATACACACATGGGGTGAAGGCAGAGGACACCAGCAGTATCGTACACTGCGGGTGAAACTGCAGGTTCCAGAGTCATTAGTGTGACTGTCTGTGTAAATTCATCTCAAAACATTGTTTATAGGGGCCAAAAGGCTCTGACACTACTGACCCTCACTCATCTAAACAGGGACAAGAAAAATTATGTCCAGAGGCACGGTTGATGCCCTTTCACTGCAGCCAAAGTATTCCTGATCAAGATAACCCCTGACCTTACGCATGGGCCAGTGGCTGCTTTGAATGTCAGTTGCTTAATCATATTATTTTGGCCTGAGTGGAAAAAAAAATGTAAAGGTAGAAAATAAGTTTACCCCAAGCCCTTATATTGGCGTGTTTCGGGGGAAAAAAGAGCTTAGTTAAGGGTGTCATACAATTAACCAACATTCCTTTGACTGGGTTAAAGACATGCTGTTAAACTTCTGCATGAAGTTTTTCATTTCCCTATTTATTTATTTTTTATACATTACAATAAACTTGGAAACTGTAAAAGAAGTAAAATTACTGCTGATTACAGGCTGCTTACTTTAAATATAATAGATAACTGATATACAGGTAAAAATATATAATTAAGTGTTTCTATACAGGTTCCATGTTTGCAATTACTTGTGATATAATATCCATATGTGGTTTTAAACTCTTGAAATTCTTTTTGCATTCAGTTTTTAGCTGTATACTGGTACAACTCACTAGTTTATAAAAAAAAAAAAAAATTGGGTATTTTCAATAAATGATCATTTAATTTCAGGTCTACATTTAAAGTCATTGTACACATTTTTAGTTCATGCTATGCACCATGTTTTTTTTCGAAATATTTTCTGGGTTTTTGGCTCTATATGTGGGGAGATTCAGTTTTTATTCCAGTAAGCCTGGCTCCAGGAAGGAGACCAGTTTAAAGTCCTGCATCTAGTTCTGGTTCCACATCCTGTCTCGGCTACCCTCTTCCACTGAGCCTGCTCATCTGCACCTGATCCTGTCTGCTCCTGTGCGTGACCATCTGGTCATGCTTCTGGTCCCAGTCAGACTCTGAACCCTTCTGGGGCTTGTGGATGCCTGGAAGTCTGGATCCTGCCACCTGTTCTTCTCCTGCCTGGTCTGGATCCTGCCACCTGTTCTGTTCCTGCCTGATCTGGATCCTTTTCCTGTGTGTTCTGGATCCCTGACCAGGATAGGCTTCCAGCATGTCCTCTGGAACTGCAGCACTTAGGGACATTCATGGACTGAACTGCTAAACCAGGTAAGTGACTCACTGAGAACATCATCAGATTCAGTCAGATGATCGTGGTCACTTACCTGTGTTTCTCCTGCAGAGTGTCTGTGATTGGGCGGTGCCCCGCTCCCCATCCTGCAGTGTCCGCAAGCCACATCTCTGCTTTTGTTTTGTTTTATTTAAGAAACGTTTTGAACTTTCCTATTGACTGTCTCTCCTTGAATACTGGGTCCCTCTGTTCGCATTTCATGACAGTTCCACCTGAATCTGTTCAACCTAAACCTTTTATTCAAAGTTTTAAGTTGTTGTTCTGCAAAAAAAAGTGAATCTCCCTCTGAT